CACACATTTCTCTTGGCAGTTCGCATAACTTCATGACTCACTTTCCTACAAATATCTGCTTCTCAAATCCTATTCATTCTTCCTCTCTCAATAGTAACCTGTTCGTATTCACATCGCGTCCTTGGGGCTTTGTGATCCCTCCATAAGCAATAATAAACTGTATTCAACGCTTCGTATTGACTTCTGAATGTTTTACACCGTTGAAAGACGTCTGATAACGAATATTAGTACACGTTATGTACGAAATATAGTAAATGTTTCGAACATAATCCACTACACATCCATTTCATGTCAGACGAGGATAATAGCAACCAAGACATTTACTTCGCTTTGTTTAGTCCATTGACTAAATCACACTTGAAACAGAGACATATAAACTAACTGTGTTCTCAAAATAGCTTATTCGTGTTTTCCTTAACATCCAACTGACATAACCGGTTTAGATATGAATTCCTAGTCAGATTTCTTAAAGCAAAATTTATCACTGTGAATGAATGGTGATTTTACAACTTGTCTTTCGTGTAACATATTGGATAAAATCAGTTATAGTCAAGACATACACCATTCTATATATCTTCACAAGTGTGTCATTATGCACAATTGATTGAGTTTTGAAACACCAGAAATCAAACATGTCACTATTCTGATGTTATATTAAGCATTTTAGATAAATATTGCTTTTACATAAAGAAAACTAGTTTACTAACAGATAGTATGGCCTAATACTATATTATCAAAGAATAAGATTCTTTGGCACCGAAATCAATCAATATTTTTTATTCTCAATTTCGTAGATACACTAAACAAAATAAGCAAAACTAAAACTTTCACGGTAGCTTGTGAGAATTTATCTACTGTAGAAAAAAATATATCATCTTAATTAATTAATCAATACTAGTGAAAGAACCTACATTCCAGGCGCTTACTGGTTCATTTATAATTGATTTCTGGCAAAAATAAAATGACAACCCCAAAAAACTTCAATAAAATTTTTTTTATTTTAAAAAAATGCACTAAGTGATTTGCTATCATCATCACCATCATCATCGTCATCATACACTAGTTTTAAATTAATTTTTCTGTCTGTCAACAACAAACATTTGATTGTATTCGTGTATTATTATTATTATTATTATTGTTCTGTATGTTAGTAAATCTTGGTCTTCACACATCACTATCGCTTTTGAGATATTTAATTCTAAATATAGACTTGGAGAAATTGACAAGTATTATATTTTATACTGTTAAACTATGATGATTCACTATAATTTTGTCATTTATTCGGAGCAAATTTTTTGAGTGCAATTGTATTATTATTATCATTATTATTATTATTGACTAATTAAAAGCGAATGGGTAATTTATCAGACAAGTAGCTCTGCAGTAGAAATGGTTAAAGTGTACACAGAGAATTTAGATTTGATTTGAAAATACATTAGATCCCCCCCCCGCCAATGGTTGCCACGATAATGTAGCAGCAGCTCAACGTTTTCACTGATGAATCAAATTGAGTAGTTATATTTGAACATAAAAGGGTTTATGAGGTCATGCCATTCCTGTACCCATTATTTGGTTCGAGACTGAAGTCATCCCGTTAACAGATTTTTTTTCCCATGGATAGCCGATATTCATACCGATCCTACCATCACTAAACGAGAGGAATTCGTCTGAAAAGAGCATATCTCAACTTACTTCTGTGATTTTTTAGTATCTGTATTAAGTTCTAAAATTCAAGAGACCAATACATCAGAAATTGTTGGTAAATACCTGATTTTTACCAGTCTCCGGTATTTATGTTTCAGCCTCCACTGTTACGCATTTTAATCAGCAATACCTCTACTACTGAGGTTTCCTTTAGAAACAGTTCACGAAGAAATATACTATCAAGGGTATAAACAATGGGTAAATGACAATTTCTTAAATACAAACATGACACTATCTGAACTTTAAGTTTCTTTAGACAGGACTGTGAAATCTAATGCCATAGAAGTTCTGAAACACAGAAACAGTATGTCAGCTTAGTAACTCAATTGTTATCACCTAGTCAATTTATCGATCTTGTGTCATTCATTTCGGTGATGAATTCGCTCGGTCTTGCTGGTATAGACGAGGGACCAAGTGTGAAGATGGAATAAATATTTCTCTAATGGATTTTTGTTCGTCTAGATGGCAAACTGAGAAGTTGGACAGATAGGAAGACACGCTTTTGTCTATCAGTCATGTTCGCTACTTTCTTGACACTCCAATACAGAAAGTAAATAACGGTGATTGTCTTCTCTGATCATGTTGAAAAATTTTTCATTCACAGTAAATCCGAATTTTTAAACAGAAGGAGTTTCATTCTCCAAACTTGTAACTTTCAAGATTGTTTCAGTTTAATTCTAAGCTAAACGACTAAAGAAGAACTTAGGAACTAACTAGCTAGAGATACATAGTCGATAAAAGAGAAAATTTTCATCATAAAGAACCTTGATATGATATGCAAACCAATGTAAATAAATCAGTGATATCTATCAGCAAAAAGTACCATTAGATTAAGAAGAAGTGGTGGATTGGGGAAAATTTCACTGAAATGTTTGAGGCTCAGACTTCACCCTCAATGAAGACAACTTGAAAGATGTTTAATTAATAATTAGGAGTCTTAGCGGGTACTAAAACAGTGATGAAGGAAGAAATTATTATAAAAACTGTCTCAATTCAGTCGAAGCGTAAACATTTCTCTAACCTGAGTAGTGATTTACTGAACTACACCAACACTTTTGTCTCACTTATGCTAAAGTTTATTCGAATTACCACCCAAACGATCAAATGGCGGCATCAAGCTTAAATCTGGTCATTAAGAAGATTTAGTACATCGATAAATTCTATTTTGGCTTTTTGATCTTTTGTACTTGATTTTTCTCAACTTATAAATTATAAAAATCACGTTCACCCGTAAATAAAACTCTCAGATTCACAGCCTTACTATCGTCATAGAAACAGGTTTCTCTTATTCAGTTTCTAACTCATAATTAAATTACGGATTACTTGCTAAACCAATGTAAATGAGAGGATAAACGTAGGAGTGAGTGCCTTGTCTACAGGCTGGATTGCCTTAGAACTAATAAAGCCTAAGACAGTACTCTCCATAGCTCACCATAATTGACTTGAATCAAATTTAACACATCAAGCTGTACATAATATTCTCCTGGTCTGTGTGTACATAGCTCCAGACACTGAATATTGTAAGTGATGTAATTACTGATGTTTCTATGCATATTTTGCTCTAAATTTTGTTGCGAAATATTTTGCACCAGGCTTTAAATACCTTGGAATAAATTAAAATATTGGGGAATGACAATCATGTGACGAACGATTCTTGGTAAAACTAGACATATACTCTCGGTCCCAGTGACAATAATAGTATCTTCTACCTAGTTTTCTAAATGGGCATTAATTCACCATCCACATAAAATAACAAAGAATTTCCAATTTATGACTATAAAGAGGTTATCTGGTTCTTTCTATCCCTATAAACCCTTCTGAATGCCTTTCCTTACAAAAAGCCAGGTAGTGAAAAGACTTCGACATGGCAAACTATTGAAGTACCTAGATCCTAGTAGATTCCTCCTTGACTATTACTCTCATATATATCTATTAGACACATTTAACTGGACTGATAACTGGTTTCCAAATTCCAGATTGTACCTGTAAAAAAACCTGTAACACTATTGATCCTAACAGTTTATTGTTACTGGTTAAATATCATAACTAAACAAGACTCGTGAATACAATTAGAATGATTTCTGACTAGATCAATGAAGCCTAAAGGATAAATGTAATTAATACAGAGTTGTTCATAACTAACAGTAGCAAAAAGGACAGAACTAAGCTTTTTTATTGAATAAATACGTAATATTTTGTCCCAAAATACAGAAATTCCCTGTTATTTGTATAATAATTTGTTTATGACAAATTTTTTAACACATTTGAAATCATCACTCAGTTATTGTCAGTCGACCATTAGAAACCTGGAAGCACTGGGCGGCCGTTTCATCCTGGTATGGGACTCATCAGCAGTGCGCATCCATGACACCTGTACCTCGCAGGATTCGAACTCGGGACCTTCGGTATTGTGCGCGAACGCCTAAAGATCGGACCACTGGGCCGGCATCCAACGGTGTTAATGTCTAACTCTGACTGAGCAAGGGATTTTACGCGACCTCACCCATTTGTCTTGGGTAGTTACTGCCTACACCCGACAGAGTTGAACTCCATTGGTCACGTCTTCTCAACTAGAACTCCGAGAATTTCCAGTATTTCCAGATTTCTAATGGTGGTCTAACAATGGTTGATTGATGATTTCAAATGTATAAAAACACAAACCTCCAAAACTCTGCCCCAAAATAGTTTTTTTAACTCATATAAAATGACTAGAAAACTTCTGATCATACCCTATAAACTGCGCGCCCAATTTGTATTTATTTATTCCTGGAATGTGATCTGTGTTCATTTGATGTCAGAATAACACATTTTGTGAATGGTTCTAGCGTAAAATATCTATTACATCTGAGTACAATGTCCTCCTTATAGTATGCAGCTTATCTTCATACACTACATATCTTGATTCGCTTATTTTATTATTTAATTTTCAAAAAAGGTTTTCACTGTCAATTATTCGTTTTGACTTCTGTTTCTTACTTCTAAACTTTATATGATATTTGGCATCATGATTAAACAGGAATAATCTGTCAAATTAACCAGTACAGTCACCTTATTGTAATATTGTATGTCGTGATCAAAAAAAAAAATTGTTATTTCATTTTTACCGAATTTACTTCAAAAATTTAATATCACATACGTGAAATGTTTCAAAGGAATGTGAAATTATTTAGGTCAAATAAACTGACAACGTTCAGTTATGTCTTCTTTTTCTAGTTTCATGAAAATAATAATTAGACATTTTCATTGTATTTTATGATCAATATTAGCCGGTTGATTTTTCAAAATAATTTTTCCAGGTTATGGAACCATCAGTCCAGTTACCACATATGGTAAAGCTTTTTGTATATTTTTGGTTGCTGTTGGAATTCCACTGAATGTCATCTTGGTTTCTGTACTAGCTTCTTTGATTATGCCAGCAATTCGTGATTCACGAAATGCTTTAGTCAGTTCTTACTATCATTCAAGCGGTCATGATGCATCTCATAACTATACTAAAACTTGGAAACATTCTGATTTTGATGATACGGACGAGCATAGAAGATTTTCAACCGATGTGAAACTATGCCTCGATAAAGAAGAAAATAACGATGAAAATTCACACATATGTTTCAAGTTTAAATCTCTATTCCGAAGACAAGTAAATACACCAGATGTATGGAGTGAATGCGGTGGATTCCATAAAACATTATCGAATAGGTTAGTTTACTGTTTTATTGGTTAATGAAAAATTTATGCCAAATAAGTTATTTTAGACATACATGTATGTTCATAGTTTAAATCCAACAGTCACATGATTCGGATCACTGTTTAATTTAACCAATGAAAATTCAACACAAACCTCCAAATACGCTAATTCACGAATCTAGAAATGTTCAATGAATATGTGAACACGAGAAATAACATTCAAATACAGAACAAAACAGTGGAAGAATTCACTGATTGCTTCTTACATTTACACCGGTAAATATCAAAAAGTGCTATTCAAAAAGATTTGAAATAATGTTTCCATTTTTGATTCATTGCTAAGAGATGGTTAACAAAAATTCCAAAATAAGTAATGCTGAATAATATTCCTTAAAGAAACAACACATGCAATCATAATCAATCAAATGCTATTTTGTTTTTCCTCATTACCTTTTTTATACTTGAGTTGTGAAAATCACATACATTATTTAATTATCTCGTATTAAGGTGTAGAGTTTTGTACAAGGAGTTTGAACAGAAAAAAATGTGCTAATGTATATGATTGAATAACATCTAACTAGGTGAAGCATAACTATGTCTATTAATTATATCATTTTAACTCATTTTATTCTTTTGTTTGTAATCAATAGATTTGATTGATCGAGATCATCTTAGAATTTACATATACTCGTCATTTAATTACGCTTTTGATTCTGTTTAATGTGGTAATCAATCAAAAATTGTCGATATTCTTTCAAGAATGAAATCATGTGAGATGGTTGTAATGGAATCTGTGATGGTGTTTCGTTCTCTGAGTTGGATATTTTGGTTGTGAAGCTTTCATTGTTCTTCTAAACAACATGATCAGCACAAACTTCAGATGGAAGTGAAGCATTCAAATTTCCCCACGTTTGACCTGTAGCTTGTTCTGCTAACCTCGATATTGATTGGTTGCTGTTGACCTTAAACCTGACACTTGTTGGTAGAACATGCTGACGAAGAAATTCTTGGAGAAAGTGGAGTTGTTCGCGATAGGAAGCTTGCCTTTTGACAAAATTCCCCCATTTTCGAACAACGAGCAGCGTGTGACGCTTATATGATTTTGAGATGGTGGAGAAAATTAGTGGCTCAGGTGGATGATTGTGATGGTGTTTCGTTCTCTGAGTTGGATATGTTGGTTGTGAAGCTTTGATTTTTCTTTTGAACAAGTGGACTGCCTCTTCAGCTTCGTTTACGTGAACACCAAGTAACAGTCAAACGCCACGACAACGCTTCGCTTATATCAATACACACCGACAATTATGGACACACATTTGATTGGAACAACGTGGAAATACTGGGTAGGGGGAGGACAAAGAACATTAGAGAATTTTTAGAAGCTTGGCACTCAGGTCAATTGGCAATCAACAAACACATCGACATTGACCCAATTTATCAACCAGTCAGGAAAATCATAGGTGACACTGGATCAAGAAACAGATCAAAAGAGGGAGGCAATCAAAACATAGTTGCAAACAACGACAGGTCAAAGGTCAACAACAACCAATCAAGATCGAGGTTAGCAGAACAAGCTACAGGTCAAACGTGGGGAAATCCGAATGCTTCACTTCCATCTGAAGTTTGTGCTGATCATGTTGTTTAGAAGAGCAATGAAAGCTTCACAACCAAAATATCCAACTCAGAGAACGAAACACCATCACAATCATCCACCAAATTTTCTCCACCATCTCGTAATGGAATCTCACTTCATATAACCTATGCCTTGTACAATATAACATTACACTCTGTACTAATATTATTTCTCATAATGAAACATAAAACATCTGATATATTATCTTTTTTCTTAAAAAGTTAAAATTTTAGCTGTATAAAACAAAATTTTCAAGTAAATATTCACACTCGACAAAATTAATTTAAATTATTCAACACAACAACGGTTAATCAGTAAATTACGTCCTCAATAATGTCAAGTTGAAAATTTCTCATATTTATGTTCCTTTTTGGCTCATTACGCTTTTATCAAATAATTTCAAAAGTTACTCACATACATATAACTTGATGAAATGTACAAGTAGCGGATAAACAGACTAATAGGTCATCGTATCGATATATATATATATATATATATCCATAAATATTATACACAAATAGTGTAACTGAATAGCACACAGTGATTAATAAGAATAAACAATGAGACATCCTGTCAATTGATTTCAAAACACTTATGAAACTTATTTCTTAAATTTATTTACTAATATATATATATATATATATATATATATAATTTACTGATAATTGGTCACTGAAATGTAATAATTTTGCTGAAGAGTAACTATTTTCACTATTATCATACCTATTGTTTATCTTACATTACTGTATCAACAAGGTATTTATTCACTTTGTTCTCGTTTATCATTGACTGATTAGGTATTATTTCTAACTAATCGGAAAAGTTTAAATATTATTATTGTTGTTTTGACTGTAATTCAATACTTTCAATTAGAGTTATGGAGATTAGTGTTTTTGCACATTTGAAATCATCTATCAATCATGGTTAGACCACCATTGGAAACATGGAAGCACTGGACGGCCGTTTCGTCCTGGTATGTGGCTCATCAGCAGTGTGCATTCACAACTCCTGCACCTCGCAGGATTCGAACTCGGGACTTTCGGTCATGTGCGCGAACGCCTAACCTCTGAATCACTGGGCCGGCATCCAACAGTGTTAATGTCTAACTCTGACTGAGCAAGGAATTTTGCGCGACCTCAGCCATTTGCCTTTGGTAGTTACAGCCAGTGGAGTTCAACCCTGTCAAGTGTAGGCAGTGACTACCAAAGGCAGAAGGGTGAAGTCACGCAAAATCCCTTGATCCGTTGATTGATGATTTCAAATGTGTAATTTAATAATTAATTATTTTTAAACAAAAGTTATCTAAGAACAACTAACAGGTAATTGTTAAAGTTTATAATGTTCACACTGTAAATCTCTCACATTATACATATACACAGCTCTATTTAAACAAAATTTGTTTTTTTTGTTGAATATATATTATTCTAATCCTGATCAAGTTCAGAAATTAAATTAAATTAAAGTTGTTGAGATATCCATAAATATTAGAGAAATGTGTAAATCTAACTTCAATCGAATTAAGTTAATACAATACACTTTCTAAAACTCTTAGTAGATAATCAGAATTTTGCTTTGGGGCTTACATTCATCAGAAAACTGATATGCATGGCTAAAATCATAAGTATTCATACTAAGGACTCTATTCTGGAGGTTACTATGACTATATTCTGGTAATGTATTGAGATGTATCCAAAATACTTCAATCGACAGTGGTTATCCTACAAAGTTTAGTAAAAAGTACTTTGTTCCAGCAAATAGTACATCACATTTTCCAACTTCCAAAATTTGGTTACTTATAAGTCAGAACAGAGTGAGTCTTATTTAAAGTAATCTTTAGAGGGATACTAAGTGATATGACAGTGATTGACTTCATTTTCCTTGACAGAACTATGAGGGAAAACATTGTGGATACGTGTAATGTAAACGATGTTGGTCAAAGTTTTCTAAAATACAGAGATATCATCGGTGGCTTTTTAGTCAAATAAAAGCAGCAACTATTCATTCTCTCAATCTTATGTCTGCTAAGAGTCTCTGGTTTATCTTTTATATACGTAAGCAATGGTTTTCAGTACGACGTTTGATTTATCAGTTAATCCATTCAAATATTTGCGTTTTGTTATACCATCTTGATGTTTCAATATCCTTTGTTCTAAATTCTTGTAATTTTCTTACAGTCATTTATCGAATAACAATGTGAAAAATGATCTTCATTCGACAATGTTTGATATTACTGGCCCGAACAATGTCATTGAAAGTAAAGAACTAACAAATAAAACTACCTCACCGAATTCTTCATTTACAACTCTTTCAATAAGCAAGTGTCATTCTCAAAGTCCTACACCAATAAAAACTATAAATTATCCAAAAGATTTGAATGAAACCAATAATAATCCAGAATTATCAAAGCATGAACAATCAAATAAACCAATCTCATCAATCATGAAACATCATGTTGACAACACAACAAATCTTAATTTATCTTCAGCAAAAACTAATCGATCTAAAACAAAACTTGATCATACCGATACACCGAAGAAATTAACACATAAAGTTTCGTTGAGTTTTACACCGGTCAATCATCCAGATTCAGCTGAGAATATAATTCAATCTCCTTCTAGTCAATTTAGTGAATGTATTGGAAAAAATACTGATGTAAAAAATGTAAATAGACCAGTTCGACATTCTTTAAGTGAGCTATTTAAAGATGTCGCTCAAAATAGGAGTAATTTTAATGATTGTTTTTCAACAGAAACATCATTAGCTGACCGTGCTCATCTTTCTTGTATAGCATTTCTACATTATTTGGTGAGTAGATTTTTCGATGTTTAGGTGTTTCTATAATTTTATTATTCACTTATTTCTTCTATAACTTCAGTTTAGATATCATATCTGGTTTCATTAAATAAAGTTTAAGTGCCAAAACTGAAAATATTTGGTCGTCATAATTAGCACTTCGAAATAAACACTGATAGAATACACTAAAATCAAAATCCAATCAACAGTAAACTGATGTTATGTTTGCACGATACTGATATTAAAGCAATCTGTGTTTATCAACAAATTGTCGTTCTGTGTATTTTCAAAAAATTACATGACCATAGAACAGTTCTCTTTGTGTAAATCTATGAATTTAAATAGCTAAGAGTAATTCTTGAAGTTGGAAATACTGTGCATTTAGTTTAATCTACCAATTTATTATTTACAAATAAAACTGTCAGATTTGTGTGGGACATAGCTTCTCTTTCAACATTTCTCACTACTTGCTACCACATATCATACGGTTTTTTGAAACTAGTAATTTTCTTCTGCAAATCCCTTAGTTGTTGTATTTGCAAGTAAAACGGTAAGCTTTTTATTTAATCTAAAATGCATCGGTTTATTCAAAGAATCGTTAAATCAGAATTGTCATTTCTAATACACATAAATATAATGCCCACTTCTAGGCACTTGGTGACACTGAGATTATTTAACTATAATGTTAAACTATAAACACTCGACTTTTCGGGCAGAGTTTTGGAGGCTTATGTTTTTACGCATTTGAAATCATCTATCAGTCATTGTTAGACCACCATTAGAAACCTGTAGGCACTGGACGGTCGTTTCGTCCTGGTATGGGACTCATCAGCAGTGCGCATCCACGACTCCTGCACCTCGCAGGATTCGAACCTGGGGCTTTCAGTTATGTGCGCGAACGCCTAACCTCTGGACCACTTGGCCGGCATCCAACGGTGTTAATGTCTAACTCTGACTGAGCAAGGGATTTTACGCGACCTCACCCATTTGTCTTTGGCAGTTACTGCCTACACCCGACGGGGTTGAACTTCATTGGTCACGTCTTCTCAACTAGAACTCCGAGAATTTCCTCACCAAGCTAGTCACTAGTGAGCACTGTAACGATATTTTTATTATTGTTTTCGGCATTATTTATTACCATTTTTTTAAGGTTATTTTCGTTTGTTTTCTTTTTTTTTTTGTTATTTTACTATTAATTTTTCACTTCTTCAGTTATCTAGAAGTGATTTGGCTTTAACTACACAACTTAAACTTTCCCAATTTCGATATGTCAGTTTACATCATGGAATATTTCGTTTACGATTATTACATTTCTTCATTGTGTTTTCCGTAGTAATTATGTGCTCAATAATTATACCTGGGATTATATTTGCTCATTTAGAACAAAATTGGACGTATTTTGATGCAATTTATTTCTGTATTATATCACTTAGTGCAGTTGGTTTGGGTGATATGGTGGCAAGTGAAAGTAACAACAGTGGATCATCATTGGTAACAATATTATATGTAAAAAATATTTACAGAGTAATGACTGCAAGTGAGTTCTGTACATATATATATATATACCCTAAAGTATAACACTGTATTTGAGACACGTATAGATATGTGTCAAACTGTCTATCTCACCGAAACTATATGACCTTTACCCTATTTTGTAGAACAGATCACCTAATACAGAGACAGACCTGAAGTAAAGCATTATTTGATTTTGTTACACTTCCAGTTATCTAATATTGTTTATTCGATGCTAGTTCCCAATAAAAGTAAACTAATACCTTGGAAAATCTTTTTATTATTCACTACTTGATAGCTCAATTTAACGTCGAAAATCCTAACAAATCGGCGTATTATGTTTAAGCATTAAAAACTAGATTTTATAGATTACAACTACTGTTCGATTTCGCTGTTGATAAATACTTCACTCGCTTTGACATTTCGTCAATTTAATTAGGTTAGAAACGCGAATCACTGGGTCTTAATCCAGTCACCTTGTAGTAAATCAACATTCGCGATAAGTGAGAATCTTAATTTACAGTCCTGGTGGATTCGGGGTGCATACTTCCAAGGAGTCTTACAATGAGACGAAACATCTACACATTGATACTTGCTTTTAAGTAGTATCCTAAATGATGTCCATCCACGACAACCTCCACATACAAATAAGAAAAGTTCCCATAGAAGCCTTCCATCTCTTTGTGTTTACTTCTTTAATTACTGTTAGTTTCAGCAGAAAAGTATCATAAAATAAACCACCTATCTAAAGCCATCAGTGAATGCAGTAATGTGCTGTGACAAATCTTTGTCTAACAATGCAAACAACAATGATTACATTAAATATAAAAAATAAAACAACAATTTTACTTACTCCTTTATTTATAGTTTATTTAGTTTTGGGAACCACATTAATTGCCGTTCTAATAAGAAGTTTCCAAGAGATTATTGACTATGAATTTTTAAATGTAGCAGAAGAATATATCAAGGAAAAACTCAGTGAACATGCAGCACAAAATCCATGTTCAGAATTATTTTTTGACGATAATATACCTTCACAGAATTGCAGAAACCAACTGAAGTATAGAGATAAAGGTTGAGATATTTTTTTATTGCAATAACAAATAATAAACATTTAACTTATATTTTGATGGTGTATATAGCACAAGACATTTTTTTAAGTAATTTAACAAACTCAGTTGTAATTTTTTATTTATTCACTTTTTATGGTGGAATATACAGCTGTATGACCATAAGACGGAATCCAATGAAATAACTAATTTATGTCTCTTATCACTTGTAATTCTATCAGTCAATCAACATTACTGTTGTCATCAATATTTTAACGTTGTTTATATTCCAGATAAAAACAATAGATTCTATGTATTTGTTATAAGTTCCTGGTAATTATCCAATAAAACTGTGATTAAAGCATTTTTAAGTATTGTTCTAATGCTTGTTAATACTTTCAACCCTTATTTATCTTTTAGTGGACCAGTTAGTTAAGTAAATTGTCTGGCCATCTGTAATAGATATTCATAAAATCATTGCTAAGTTATTTGCTGGTAAAAAGAATTTATTGCAACGTCATTTGAAATAAGAACTCAGATACGAATTGATATAAATGCATCAGAGTATTTGCTTGTTCAGTGCCGTTTGTTTAGTAATGTAAGGTATACACAAAAGTAGGTGCTTCAAAGTGTCCACTGATATCACAATAAATATACACCTGCATATAGTCAAATGCATAGTGACAACAAATATGCTGTTGTTTCCAGCCAGTTGTAATTTGGGATGGTTCTACTAATGCACGCGTTCATTTTACACGAAAAAGTTTCAGGAGTTTTGTATTTCTTACAGACATCTGATTCCCAAATATTTGAATTTTCTTAACCAAGACAACAGACCACTGAATAGTTTTGCGTGAAACAGATATTTTGGAATAAATGAAAGAAACCTAATAATGTCTGCTAAACGCCAAATGACTGTTGATAACCTAACCATTTCACACACTAGAAACAGCATTCAACAATTAACATAAATATAAATTGCCCAAAAACTGTAAACAGTAGCAAATAAACAAGTGAAGAGTAGCATCATAGCTGCTAAGTGAAAATATGCGGAAGGCGTACCAGTGATAGCAGAAAAAGCTGCAAGAGAAAGAAACAGGAGACAGCTATATGACAGCGAAAAAACCTTGCTACGAAGTATCGTCAACAAATAAAGCAAACCAGTATCTTAGTTTCGAGAACAACAAAACAGATGTATGGAGCGACTTGAGGAACTCTTAATTCACCCAACATCGAAGTAGCACATGAGGACCTCCCAAATAATCTTAACCCACCAATACTTCAAGAAATCAGTATGACTATCAGACAAAGAAGAATGATAAAGCATCACTGCCTAAAACCATGCCAGCTATGGCACTGAATGTAGAAAAAACAGTGAATGAAACGATGCTCCACGCTTTTCTGTGCATAGTTTGGAATAATAAGTACTGACAGACTGGAAGAACGATGCACCAAAGAAAGTAGATCTTCGCAAACGTGAAAACTAATAAGGCATCAGTCTACTTCCAATAGCATGCAAATATCTGACAATGTGTAGTTGACTCGGATGAAGAATTCTGTATAAAGCATCTGACAAAATGGACAGCACAACACGGTGGAGGCTGCTTCGACACCGTGGAATACGTTAGAAGATAGTCAACATGCTACCGAATTCTTACAGAGGTATCAATCGAAAGTTTGTTCGAGGACAGATCACTGACATATTTTAAGGGAAAACTGGTGTCCGGAAAGGCTGCCTAATCTCACTCCTTATTTTTGTGCTTGTGGTTGGCTGTATCGTCAACATTTCGAGGGAAATAAGGGAGGGATACACTAGGCAGTTTGGATGCAACTAGACAATTAAGACTTCGCAGATGACCTTCAGGAAGAAAGATCTAAATAGTCTGATTCCTGATCAAAAGGATTATTAATCCATTGTATATGGTGTTAAACAGTGTCTCACGAGGTCAGCTGTTTGATACATCAATACTCACGTTCTACCAGAAATAATCGCTAAGGAGCGTACCTGACTGATTAAATCCTAATATTATTGGAATTTCCTAAACAGCTGCAGTTGGAAATAAGTAACGACATAAGACAACTGGCAGAAAACTCACTCTACGAAACTAAGAGTAAACCACAGTACCTTGGAAAGTCTTCTTTCAACTAAAAATATTTCGACTCTACCAGCAACTTAGAAAGATGCGCAAATTCGAAATTTTTTGAATCCATACGCTCATAGGTTGAAACATAGAGGGAAAGACAGTAAAATTTTTGCGTCATTATAACACTTCAAGTAAGAAGGATGGTCCGCTCCTTCGAAAAATCTAATGTGAATAAGGCAACGCATAAGCCAAATACTAAGCAACGTCAGTGCATCATCACTTGATTAAATTTGCTAAGGTATTATGGTGTCTAGTCAGACCCCTCAAGTGACAGTAACCTTCGTTGGATGATTTTAAATTCATATATCCGTTCGGTTGAATGCAAACTAAAAGGTCTACAGGTTAAGCATTCGCGTGCGAGACCGAAGGTCCAGGGTTCTGTTCTTGAAAGAGAGGGTCCTGGGTTCAAACTGCTCATGAGCGACACACTAGGAGGAAACGGTCATCCAAGTTTTTAATGATGGTTTAACAGTGACTGATTCGTGACCCATGAAAACAACAATCTCCATTATTTTATGATGAATTTCATATACATCTATTACCTTCGGAATGATGATAACCTCTGCTTATTTCCCTGTAGATTTGATTAGAATTACTGATAGCGGAAAACTGGCCTCTTTAAGTGCCACAAGCATTACAGTCGTTGAGACAAATATTTTCTCATTAGATCGTCAAATCTTGAAGTCTGCTTCCAGAAGTAATTCGGCTCACAACCTCTGTTGACTTTTTTGGGATCGGTGAATTCTGAAAGTTTTCTAGAAAGCGAATTTATCAATTTGTAATTCTATGCCCATGAACCTTTCACGAAGCTTCAGGTATTTTTTCTGAAAGATGTACGTTGATTTTTCTATCACTCTGGTCATATTGAAAATTGAATACCGTTGTCATGCTAACAGCATTTATTGGTTTGAAATACTGTTGTGTAACGGTTTTATATCCTCCGGCTATACGCCACGATTTTCGTTCTGTGGGGGCTCTGAATCTGAAGCCTATAAACTTTTTTCCCTTTACTGCTACTCCTACCAAACGTTAGTTCATTTTTAGCGCTTGCTGGATCGTCGACTCATATCTTGTTCTTCTCTTTTCTAGTTATTCCCGCTCGAGCCACTATGAATGCTCCCCTAGTACACAAGGTACGTTCTGGCTAGACCTGCTCCGCTACGGTGGTGTGACGCTTGTGCTACTGCTATTTGTCTTCGATTACCTCCATTACTAAGTGAAAATAATTTCATTGTTCTACTGAGCCATCGCCTGAGTTTCCCTCTTTTCCTTTTGGCCTCTAGATCTCCTCTTTCCTCTTTGAACACTCTTAGTTACAAACAGATTTTTCTGTCAGACACAACTCTTTCAAGGGCTGAATGCCACAACAAATAAAATGTCTCGCGAATCTAATGGCAAGTCATCCGCTATATTTCAATTATCTATTGAACTATCTAAATTCATATTAACCCTATTCATTTTAAGCCAATTAACTGTATTTTTATACAAGTATTTCAATCTACCGTATCGAAGTTTAGAAATGCTTTATGAAACTTTGATCCTTTTGTCGATGTTCACGTTTGACAGCGTCAGACTTTATATTTGTTCTGTGGCCAACCGATCTCAAAACTCCCTTTTGCTAACTACTTCCTATGTGTTACTGGGGATTTGTGTTGTATACTGTGTATGGATTATAATGTGGCAGTTATTCACTATTAAACTCGAGATATATTTTATATCAGTCCTCCTTATATTCTATGGTTTGAATTTTTGTACTGGCATACATGGATTTATCTCATTTAATTCAGAAATATGACAATAATAATTGACATTAATCTTCATCACTGCTTTATGCGATCTTATGTTTTAAAGTAACTATCGAGTGGTAAAAATTGCTTTTACAATCTTGCGTGACGTTGACGAGTTGCTTGATCAAAAACGGTGATAGGGAAATCCCTTAGAACTCCAGTGTACTTTATAAATTCCAAAATGTTATTTTGGCCTAGGGGTTTTCAAGAAGTTCTCGATTTCTTATACCAGCATATGTGAATTTATATGAGAAGCTTAGTCACACTACAGTCGAATATTTATTGTTTCTTAATAAAAAAAGAATGTGTTATCTGCATGTCACTGCGGACAAATGACTCTATAAAACAACAGTGAGTTAGGTCGCTATGTTCTATGGACTGAAATTACTGATAAAAACTGATTGTTGTCTAACAAACATGATATAGTGAATCTAGGAAAGTGATTAGTGTAAGAATCCAAACAATACATATAAAAGTATTCATAATTATTAGTACCAACAGAGAATTTATATAGAGCTAATAAAAGAAGAATTGTCTCCCACGTTATTAAAAATTGCTTTCTTTCTAACATATTGATCCGTATTTCGGAAAGATTGTTCATTATTGCTCATTTTTGGCTTCGTCTTTTTGTATCGCCCAGTAAACTATTGATAATGAGATTTGGTATTCAAAATTTGTAATATTTTAATGAGAATGAGATTTGATTTCTGACTAATGACTTTTTGGAAGTTACTCCAGCGAATGAATCAATAACTAAGCTAAGTTCAGTCAGTCAGTCAGATGCAAAGTAGAACTTTGTACATAGGTACATCAGTTCATGTTACCATACCACATCAGCACGGAGAAGTAATCGTCAATTCAAATCCGATAGTAGAAGAAGTAGTAAGGGAATTAGAAGTAATCGGAGAGGTTATGATTAGAAGATACTATTCAAGAAGTTTAATTCAGTGAGAAAAGTTTAGAGAGTCGAAACCAGAGGTGTTGAAGAATCCAGAAGATTAGGATTAGAGAGAACACAGAGAATAAATGCACCGGCGCCATTGCGAACGATTTTGGGCCATGTCATTCAAGGTCTCTAACCATCGATTATTATCATCTCGCGGACCCCAACCAGGTAGTCGACAATTACCGACACGGCTCAGTCCACTAGTCAATGACTACATGGATTTGTGCCATGTTTTGGTTTGGCAGCCTCTAACTTTCTTCCAACCTATTCCTACACTACAAAACAAAGTTCGTCGAGGCAGTCGGTGGTTCGGCATACTCAGCACATGTCCCAACCACCTCAACTGATGAAGTTTCACCACTTCGTCTATGGATCTGCCATCCTTACCTAGTACTCGTTTCCTAACGACAGCATTGCTTACTCGGTTGTCCCACGATATACGAGCAATGCTTCTTAAACATCTATGGTCGAATACTAGTAACCTACGAACATCTTCTTCT